GGGAGGATATGAAACAGTCTACTAAAGATTGTATGTATTACTTGAAATGATAGCGAATATCATGTAGTTGTTTTTGCTGTGCTAATTTCTGTGAAAAATATCTTGGGATTTACACAAAAACTTGTCAATAATTATTGGTATTCCTTTATGAAAATTATTACCTTTACATTGTCTAAATTTTAAGTTGCTCCTTATTGTTTATTTTTTCATTTAAAAAGCTGAACAGATACATAAGAATTTACTACAGCATATGAGAAAAGTTTTAGTTTCTTTGTTTTTAGAGATATAATGTAAATGATGTTTGTATTTGTATTTTTTATACTACATTCATGAAATTACTCTACATTCTTGATAAAACATTTTAAGCTTGAATTTATACTTGAATGCAATAAATTGTCTGCTAAAAGCTAATATACAAAAGTAAGTGGACTGATTTAAGAAAGTATCCATTTCTAAAAAACATAAGAAAAAATATATATGGGACAATATACTAAAGTAATTGGCATCCATAGTCAAGATTACACCTTGTTATTTATTTATTTATTTATTTATTTAGTTTGTTTGTTTATTTATTTATTTATCTATTTATTTATTTATTTATTTATTTATTTATTTATTATTACAGTTTATTCACTTTGTATCCTGGCTGTAGCACCCTTTCTCATCTACTCCCAGTCGCACTCTCCATTCCTCTTATCCTCCTATGCCCCTCCCCTAGTACACTGATAGAGGAGGTCCCCCTTTTCTACCTTCTGATCCTAACATATTGATTTTCATCAGGACTGGCTACGTCCTCTTCCTCTGTGGCTTGGATAGGCTACCCCACCAGGGAGATAGAGTATATGTCAGAGAATCCCTCAATGGCTTTCTGATTTTTAATTTTAATTTCAATTTATTTTTACAACCGAGTTGTAGTCTTCTCCCTCCTCTTCTCTTAGTCCCACCTTACCTTCCTGTTTTCCTACCCCCCCTACTCTATAGAGAAGGGAAGTCCACACCCACACACCCTAGCACATTAAAGTTCAAATTGCATCAGAAATGAGCATTTCCTCTTCCCTTGTGGCCTAGTAAGGTAGCCCTGTGATGGGAAAGTGATCAAAAAGCAGGCAACAGAGTCCATGTCTGAGTCAACCCTCTTTCCACTTACCAGGGAACCTATATAAGGACTGAGCTGCCTATCTGCTATATCTGTGTAGGGGGCATAGGTCTATGCATGGATCTTGCTTGGTGCTTCACTCTCCATAAGCCTCCCCTGGGACCTGATCAGTTAACTCTGTTGATATTCTTGTGGAGCTCCTGTTCCCTCTGGGTCCTTCTATCCTTCCCTCCACTCTATCACAAGGCTCACTCTACTCCATCCAATGATGGATTTTAGGTCTCAGCATCTGTTTCCAACAGCTGCTGGGTGGAGCAACTCAGAGAACAGGTTTCCATTTGTAAGCAAAGAAGAGTATCATCACTCTCTAACTAGATACAACTCATAGTGGAGGGAGGGAAACACCATCCCAGCCACAAACACTTCAACCCAAAATATACCCTGTCTACAAGATGTGCAGTGACAAAAATAAAGCAGAGATTGAGGGACTGTCCAACCAATGATTGGCCCAACCTGAGTCTCACCCCATGGGAGATAGCCAGTCCCTGACACAATTAACAGTAGTCTGCTATGCACTGATTTATCTTTAATAGTAGACTTATTCTTTAATTTTCATTCTCCAATATGAATAAATTTATATTATTTAAGGAAAAATTTCAGTTTAGGTTACTAGAAATTAGCTTTATTTTGTGACACAACAATTTTAGAGATATAAATTAGAAATGAGAACAAGGCAGGGGCTGACACATTCATTCTTACAGTTTTTTTTTTTTCATGTGATTCTTCTTTGAGAGTTTTCTCTCCTAATAAGTATTTTTGCAAATAAAGTATAATCTATCAATTTATTAAGGTATTAATCATGGTAAATCTTGCTTCTTTTTCCATGATCAGAAGGATCGCCTTTCTTTTGTTTTTCTTTCCTTAATCTTATTATTACCACTTTTAATTCTGCCTATTGTACTTTTTATAGCAATACACACTTGATGTTACATTAGTCATTTAGTTGTCTTAGTTACATTTTTATTGCTGTGATAAAACACCTTTGTCAAATGTACTGATAAAAGAGACAGTTTATTTGGGTGTTTACATTTTGAGAATGTGAGTCCATAACTATCATGGCAACAGACAGGTGTGGTGCTGCAGCTGGAGCTGGAGCTAAGAGATTCCATCTCATCCACAAGCAAAAGGCAGAAACAGGAGAGAGAGAGAGAGAGAGAGAGAGAGAGAGAGAGAGAAAGACAGACACAGAGAAAGAAGAGCAAAAAGAGATGTAGAAAATGGAAATGGCTGAAATCTTCTGATACCCCAAAGCTCAACTGCAGTAAAACACCTCCTTCATCAAGACCACACTTTCTAATCTTTCCCAAATTGTTTCAGCAACTGGGGACCAAGAATTCAAATATCTATGCTTATGGGAGCCATTCTTTTTCAGCCACCAAACTAGTACCATTCTCAATCTTGTCGCTATGAGTACCAGTTCAGAAAATACAGCGTTTATATGAGAAAACATGAAGCTATGTGTAAGCGAGGAGAAACTTGTATAACTTTTCTTTTTTATACTTATTTCCAGAGAGGTAATTTTCTTTTTCATGTAATGTTAATTTAGAGATCTAAAAGAACATGAACTGCTTTTCTGAATGTATATCTATAATTCTTAGAAACAAAAATCAGAAAGACTCTTTGTAAAACACAAAATTACCTTATGCTTATCTTGACCAAATATTTCATACTGATATTCTACTTACTGCCATGAGAAGATTGTACACTTCTCTGGGCTACATTGGTGCCAGAATTAAGACATTTGTATTAAGACAAATGAACAGAACAAAATTGTCTTTTAAGTGACCTAAACTACATTCCATTTATTGAAAACAATTTCAGTTCTGTTTTTTGAAATTTTTTACCTCTTCAAAAATTCTGTTTTGTCTATCTATGAAATGAACTTTTACAGGTTGAACACATATAAGTCATAGTGATATTTTTAGTTGTTTTTACATTTGGTTTTATCCACATTGAAGTGCAGGGAGTTCGCTATTGTTCTGAAAACTGGGGAAATGACCTTCATTTTGATCAGTTTCCTCGTGATTTGTATTTAATAAGTCTAAATGTGTTAAATACCTCTCTACTTTTAGAACTTTATTCATTTCTCATTTTCCGAAGCAAAGAGTATAATTATATAATGAATAAAAATAAGATGATGCAAGTGAGATGGAGTGTTTTAATATGTGAAAAATTATTATGGAAATGAGGATATCATACAAGTACAATAAATTGTTTTTTCAGGATGTATCCTTGTACCATATTTCTGAGTAAATGCATTTATCTGAATATTCACGGGAAATGTTAAACTTTTTCGGAGAGGATACCAAGGAATAAAGACTTTATTAGAAACAATGTTAGTTGTCTCTAAAGAATGCTTGAATGAAATAGGCTTTCTGCTCTCTAAAAAGTTCATGAATATTTTCAGCTGAATTTTTCTTTTAATATTTTTATTACTTTGAGAGAAAAACCAGTGAGTGATGGGAACAATCATTCATAATTGTCACGATCAGATGAAAATGAGCCAAAGTTGCATTTCTAATATAATGTGGTGAGAAGCCAAAGTTTATCACCCAGAAAGGGAAGGAAAGGTCTCTAATATCAATTATTTAGGAATGATTCTACTAACATCTTTGATCAATTAAATTATTACTCTGTTGAATTTTACCAAGATCAAACTTTCTTGCTCACAATGAGAAACAGTTGTGTTACGGGGACTGGGATAATATCAGTATCATAAAGATAGAATTACAACAAAAGGAACAAATAATTGAGGACATATATTGTTTGCGGGACAGAAAGTTCCCTCATCAAATACATCAAATACTCAAGTTACATTATTTCAGTAAAATACAAATTGAACCATTTATTATTATCAACATTTTGCTTTTTTGTCCTGCCAGATAACACATTATTCTGAGCTGGGTACATAAATAGCATAAATTTAAAACTCTCCCCAGCTGGACTTCATAAAAAAAATTCTCACATACTCAGTTTTTATCTTCTGATAAAAAAAAATAAAGAAAACCTTTTTTGGTGTCTTCAAACTAGTTTCTAGATAATAAATCTGATAGTGTACGAGACGTGATGCTAAAACAAGTTTGAATGCAATAAACTTACCTAATATACAAAACACTTTCTTTTTGAAATACTTGGTAATAATTTTAAAAAATCATGATGATCTCCAAGATATTGATACTCAATGAAAGATAATATTTTTCTCATGAATGTATTTCTTTGCACAGGTCATTCATTCCAGAAGATTGTTTAGCCTCTATTGTGGGATATTAATTGATCAAAGGAGTAGTTGTGAGCAAAGCAAACATGATATTGACCTTTATGAAGTTTACATGCTCTCTTAGACAGCTTTTCAAAAATATTTACAACTAACAAATTTTCCCTTCTTTTTGACAGTAACTGTTGTGAAAACCAGAGTCCAGCATATATAGCTGAATATATATAGCTAGTTTTGTGGTCACAACACATGTAATTCTAACATGTAAATTTTTGGAGAAATTATACATTTATTAATTCATTTACATTTTTCCTGTTATTAGCTAAAATTCCTGATTACTATAATTTCAAATCATAAATCTGGAACCTTTGACAATGTCCTAAAATCAGAGTAAAGGGAGGTAATTACTGAATTTTTTTTTGCCAGACAAATTTGAGACTTTGAGTTTATTAACTTTAAGTAACAATAATTTTAAAGGTGCAATGGGGCCTCATATTGAAGAAATAATATGTAAAACTATACAATAAACTAGTCAGGGTAGGGCTGATATAATAGCAGTTAACAAGAAGGCTAGAAATCATTGTGCATCGGTCCAGGTCACACTTCCTTTTATTATTTTGGTTTAAGATACTAAAACAGTGGTTAGATGCCACAAAGTAGATGACAATGCCTTAACTGTATGCGTCTTGTTAAGCCCAAGGGCCTCTTCTATCTTTGTCAAGGAGAGTGCTAACCTTCTCTCCTTTCTTTTTCTTTTTTTTTTTGAAGTTAATAAGATTAATTCATTTACATTAACATCTATAATTTTTTTTTCTTATTAGTTACAACTTGTTAACTCTGTATTCCAGCTGTATCCCGCTCCCTCATTCCCTCCCAATCCCATCCTCCCTCCCTCATCTCCTCCTTGCCCTTTCCCAAGTCCACTGATAGGGGAGGACCTCCTCCCCTTTCATCTGACCCTGTTTTATCAGGTATCTTCAGGACTGGCTGCAAAGTCCTCCTCTATGGCCTAACAGGATTGCGGCTCTCTTGGGGTATGGGGAGGTCAAAGAGCCTGCCATTGAGTTCCTGTTAGAAATAGTCCTTGTTCCCCTATGAGAAACCAATTGATTACTGAGCTACCACGGGCTACGTCCGAGCAGAGGTTCTAGGTTATATCCATACATGGTCCTTGGTTGAGTGTCAATCTCAGAAAAGACCTTGTGCCCAGATATATTTGGTCCTTGTGGAGCTCGTATCTTTTCCATATCATACTAACTCCCCTTCTTTCCTATGATTCCCTGTATTCTGCTGAAGGTTTGGTTATGAGTCTTAGTATCTGCTTTGAAAACACTGCTAGGTAGACAAATGGGATGTTCATTGAACGTATGACAAGAGATTTCTCTCCTTTCATACAACACCTGAATTTTTTTTTCTGTAGCTTTCATATGATAAATGATCAGTAAATACTTGCTGCTTGAAGAAAGAACAACACAAAGTAGTTGAGTGAACACGAACATGTTTAATCTAGTTTTCATTCTGTTATCAAATCAACACAGTTTATGTAAAATTTACATCACTAAATGGACTTCAGATTCTACAACTACATAAAATCAGTGTAATCAAGTTCTTGAAATATGTTTCTTTAAAAAATCCATCGAAATATATCCAAAGGAAACTGAGAATATTTTTTTCAGAATGTTTAAATAAAGTGAATTTTAATTACATCCATTTCAGCCTGTTTTCTTGTTGACTGCTTACAGTAAATGTTCCAAAATGTAAATGCATCTGCATATGTAGCTCAGTGGTAAGACATTTGGCTGGTATTCAATCATTCCTGCAATCAATACACAGCAACATATACACACATATACACAGAGGAATTCATGCATGTGCTTATAAACATGAGCATTTAGAGATGTCAAAAGAAAAATAATAATAAGAGAATAAGACAATTAACAACATTCAGCACACAAATCTTAATTTAGTCTATAGTGCATATGTTTGCTACTTTTTGTCATTGTACACAAGTATCTGATAAGAAGCCACTTAAGAGAGGAATGATTTATTTTTTGCTCATGGATTATGTGTTCAGTCCATCACTGAAGGAGTGGTATGGCTTCAGAAGCAGGCTTTGGCTTTGTGGGCTATGAAACTCCATGCTCATAAGTTGGCAGATCAGAAAGGAATTGGATTTTGTCCTATTCTCTCTTTATTCAGTCCTGGACCCTAGATAACACCTGAATTTATTTTAATTTTGTAGCAATTATACTAAGTTATGAAAATTGTCTCTTATTTACTGAAAATTAAACTTCAAGATCCCTTTTCTTCTGAAAATAAAAATACTGTGAGACTTGGCATCTTTATAATATTTCAATTTAAGCCTTCCAAGGGATCTGTTCCCATTGCAAAATATTTACAAATCATTTTATCTAGTATAATTAAATCCCAATAGCACAGGAAGCTTATATCCTTCTATGTTTTTCTTCTTCTCATTTTATTTGTGCTGAAAGCAAATGTATTTTAGACAATTTTATCCTAAGTTTTGAAACTCAATCTTAAATGTATGTACACAAGTGTCAACTAGGTACGTTATCCTAAGGCAGGTATATGATATTTGCACAAGGTATCACCTTCAACCTGTTTTAAGGATGCTAATGAATGATTCTTAAGATTTTTGGCAGAATGAGGACAGTTATAAAAAGGAACAGAAACACTGTACTGCCTGGCATCACTTTTTCAATTAACAGTGATTTACATTAAAACTTTTGCTCAGTGGAATTGCTGACTATGCCAATTCTTAATTGCATTAAGCCTTGCTCATTTTTTCCCTAAGCCTACATGCCAGGAATAGCATGAGAAAATGACAATTATCAGGGTCAATGGAAATCACATACTATTGTTATGCTGTTTATATTATCATGTTTGTTTCTTCTTTATTCCTCAGAAGACTTTTGTCAAATTCTAAATCTTTCAGAACTATATGGGAAGATGTAAAGAATTATCATGGATAGGTGTTTTTCAAATACATGGATATTGTTTGGCTCCTGAAAGAAAACATGAAGGACTGTCTCTCTTCTCAGAATCTAGAAGAGGGTTTTTTTTTTCCACAATAAGCAATCATAAATGGACTCTGTGTTTCTGATCTGTAGATTTCTTATTTACAAATCTAATTATACACTGAACTTTCTTTTAAATTTCAAAGCCACAGCTATTAGCCATTTAATGATCATACGCAAATGCAAATAGAACACCTTCAAAGTGGAGAACTTTTGTGTACAAGTTTTTAGTAGAGCTCCATTTGGCATGCATCATTTAGTCTATCTAATAAAAGGGAAACAAGGCAAAGACATTATTAAGACTTCATGGGAGCATTTTCTTGTCACGGTTAGAATACACAAAAGACAGGTGTCCTTGTCCTTTGGTTCGTACAATATTTTTGCCCCCTTTCTTGTGATTTTCTCTGAGCCTTTGGAGTATGGGTTGCACTGTAGATGTGTCTATTGGAGTTGAGTTCTCCAAGACAACTCATTCATCACATTGTGAACAACTGAAGATATCTGCAAGAATGTCTATCTGTTGCATCAAGTAACTTCTTTAATGAGTGATGTAGTAAGTATTTAGCATAGAGTGAGAACTTATTTTAGTTTAGGAAAATGACAATATAAATTCTTCTCTATGCCCAGTCATGAGTAATAGACAAGACTTATGGAAATAGTCATGATTTTCCTCCTATTAATAAGTCTTAAGTCCAATTACATAGCTACTCATTTCCCCAGTATAAAAATATCACTATCATACACTTGATATATCTTTTGATATTGGTCGTTGTTGTTTTAATTAGCCATTACAACTAGGAACAACTAATTTTTTTTTTCTCCATGGGAAATTTGGATAGTGGTTTTCTATATTATAGCTAGTTCTCAGAAGCATTCCAGCTTGGTTCTAACATCATTTTTTCAATTCCTGTGCAGGTATAAAATATCAACAATATGATTGATTCAAGAAGATCTGCATTATTAGAAAACCAGTTGACTTAGCAGCATGTAGGCAGGTACAGGCAATCAGTGACTGCTGAGAGAAGGAAAATTACTCTTGTCTGGGTTAAACCTCCTAATAATTTAATGAATTACAAGTTTTTAGTCCTAAACCTGTACATATGAACAACACTAGATTAACTCAGTACAATTTATATATAAATATTTAATAATAACAAAGAACATATTGTGAATTTAAGAGGGAGTAAAACAGAGGGTAACAGTACTAATATAGGAAATTCTCAAGGAATAAAAATATTAAAGGAAAAAATGATGATTAAAATATTGAACATTTATTATAAGAAGAGTGCAGTGCAAGAAATCCTAATGAGGGATCATGTGAATGGGGTTTATAACTAAACCCTTCGTTCAATGGGTTATTCCTTACACAGTCACTTAAGACTACCCAATTATATTTTCTCTTAATTGAATAGATAGAATATCTCAGAAAGAGATGTTCTTATGTCTGAGGATGCTAATCTATGTGAGATATTTGTACAAACAAACACAAGTTCCTAGGAATGAACATGTAATATTATCTAATTCATTGTTCACACGTACTTTATATAATGTACTGTGAATAATATTATTAGCTATTAGCATTCTGTCCATAAACGAAGGAATAAGTAACCCAAAAATTTCACTCATTCATTTTATGTCTATGTCATTTCAAATAAGTGGATGAAAATCATTTCTCATTGAATTCGTGAAGACTGGCATAGTAGTTAGAAAAATAACTCTTCTACTGACATCCCCATTTTGGGGGGATTTGTTTCTTCATTTATTAAAAATCTTTGAGTGCTCCACATATTTATTCAATGCATGTTGATCATATCCATCTGAATTTTTATACTTACAGCCAATTAATATGTTAGATTACATGGTGAAGGAAGACTATAATTGTAGATACAGCTAAGATTTCTATATAGGTGCATTTAAATTAGGGAAATAATCTTGTACTGCCTTGGAGGTCACAATATGATCATTAAAGTTCCTTAAATTATATGAGAAATGCAGTTATCGAGAAAAGACAAATTGAATGTAATCGACTTGGCTTTAAAGATAAAAAATAACCATATGGATGACATTTAGAAGCTGAAAAACTGAAGAAATTGATTTTATCCTTGAATCTCCAGAAAAGAATGAAACCCTGATTTTGCCCCAGTGAGGCACACATCTTATTTCTGAGTTCTAGGAATTCAACTTAATTTTTTAAAAGAACGAAAGAGAAGAGAGAGTGAGAAACAAAAATGTATTTTTAAATTAATTTATTCACTTTACATTTCAATATTAGCCTCTTCTCCTCCCAGTCCCATCCTCCCCTTTTCTATCCTCCCCAGTCCTTCCTCCTCTATCAGGACTAAGCAGATCTTGTGGTCTGGAGATGTAACCCCATCAGGTGGAAATGATCAAAATGCAAGAAATAGAGTTCATGTTAGAGACAGCTCCTGCTCCCTTTATGAGGAGACACACATGAATCCCTAGCTGCTCATCTTCTACATCTGTAGAGGGGATGGAAGATCAGTCCATGCATGGTCCTTGGTTGGTGCTGCAACTCGCCCTCCCCTCCAGCCCTAGAGAATTGTATTCTCGGGAAGTTCATGGCCCCTCCCTTCTATCCTTCCCCTCTCCCCACTCTTCCACAAGTCTCACTGCACTCTGCCCAAGGTTTGGCTGTGAGTCTCAGCATCTGTTTCAATCCAATGCTAGGTGGAGCCTCTCAGAGGAGAGCTATGCTAT